CAATTAAACACACAGAGGCCTATATTAATTAAACTGCTCAGCCATTAGCTCAGGCCTACCACTGACTAGCTCTTACATTTAAACTAACACATAACTCTTATTTATATTTAGTCATATGGCTTGGTCACTTTTCCCAGTTCTGCCTTCACATCTTGCTTCCTCTGTGTCTGACTGGCGACTCCTGACTCAGCCTTTCTCTTCCCAGAATTCTCCCCTCTGCTTATCCTGACTATACTTCCTCCCTGGCTACTGGCCAATCAGCATTTTATTTATTAACCAATCAGAGCAACACATTCATAGCATACAGAGTGATATCCACAGCAGAAAGACTTTTCCCAGCCTTTTACTCTGAGGTAGAGACTGTCTTTGAAGTTGAGGTACATTTCTTGTATAGAGCTAAAAGATGGGTCTAGCTTTCATATCCATTCTGTTAGCCTGTGTCTTTTTATAGGTGGAATAAGTCCATTGATATTAATGGATATTAATGACCAGTGGTTGTTAATTCCTGTTATCTTTTGGTTGTAGTGTGTGTGTTTCTCTTCTTTGGGAATTACTGCTGTGGGGTTATCTATTGCCTGTGTGTTTGAGGTGTATCTTACCTCCTTAGGTTTGCATTTTCCTTCTAGTGCTTTCTGTATGGCTGGATTTGTGGATAGGTATTGTTTAAATCTGGTTTTGCCTTGGAATGTCTTGTACACTCTGTCTATGGTAAATGAAAGATTGGCTGGGTATTAGTCTAGGCTGGCACCCATTGTCTCTTAGTGTCTGCATTACATCTGTTCAGGACCTTCTGGCTTTCAAAGTCTCTATTGAGAACTCAGGTATTCTTCTGATGGGTCTGCCTTTATAAGTCATTTGGCCTTTTTCCTTAGCTGCTCTTAACATTCTTTCTTTATTCTTTATGCTTAGTGGATTAATTATTATGTGGTGAGGGGACTTTTTGGTGGGTCTAGTCTATTTGGTGTTGTATAAGCTTCTTGTATCTTCATAGGTATTTCCTTCTTTAAGTTGGGAAAGTTTTCTTCCATGAATTTGTTGAATATGTATCTATGCCTTTGAGTTGGTATTCTTTTTTTTTTTTTTTTTTAGACAGGGTTTCTCTGTGTAGCTCTCCCTCCTGCGTGCTGGGATTAAAGGTGTCTGCCACCACCGCCCGACTTGAATTGGTATTCTTATCCTTCTTCTATCCCTGTTATTCTTAGGTTTAGCCTTTTCATGGTGTCCCAGATTTCCTGGACATTTTGTGTTATGACTTTTTTGGCTGTGGTGTTTTCTTTGACTGGGAATCTATTTCCTCTATTGTATCCTCTACACTAGAGATTCTGCCTTCCATTTCTTGTATTCTGTTGGTTATGATTACATCTGTGTTTTTTTTTGGTTGTTTGTTTACTCAGATTTTCTATTTCCAGTATATTTCTCTTGTTTGTGTCTTCTTCATTGTTTTCTATTTCAATTTTCAGATCTTGAACTGTTTCCTTCACATGTTTAATTGCTTTTTAATGGTGTTCTTGGCTTTCTTTAAGGGATTTATTGATTTCTTCCAATTTTTTT